AAAACCACCATCGGTCAGATGAACAAAAATCAAATCTGATAAAGGTGTTTAAAAGAGTCATAATGGTAGAAAAATAACTATTTTTATTCACTTCAAGACGCGACAAACTAACATAAATAATCCTGAATACATTTTTATAATATACCATCACCATCATTATTATCATTATTTCATTAATAATATACATGAAAAAATTTCTCGATTGTGATTGGCTACGAGGAATGCAGTTTTTAGGTAACACAGTGCAGAAAAAAGGTAATTGAGTGCAGAAAAAAGTAATTGAGTGCAGAAAAGAGTAACAAACGTGACATTCTGATTGGCTAATAAACAAAGGAACTCACTGAGAGCCAATCAAATGCGCCATCTAAATGGCGCAAAATTTGGATCCGCTCCGGACCAGGGGCCCGTTTCTCGAAGCTCCCGGTAATTACCGGACCCGTTAAGCTGTCTTGTTTTCCATTTTAGAAGGGAGTTTTAAAAGTTTTGAAAATTATACAGTAGAGTTATTAGCTAACGAAACAAAATGGACTTCATTAGAGGTCAGAACACACCCTACTTTTCTTGAGACTTTGATTTAAAAATATGATTCCGGGCCCGTTAAGTTACCGGGACTTTCGAGAAACGGACCCCAGGGGCCCGTTTCTCGGAAGTCCCGATAATTAACGGGCCCGTAAGCTGTCTCCGTTTACATTGAAGATCGAGGTTTCAATAGTTTTGCATCTAACATGATAAAACTATAAGTTGATGAAACAAAAGCCAGTAGTTTGCTGGCCAGGACCCGCGCTCTTATTCTTTATATTTCGGTTTGAATATTTGATTTCGGGCCCGAAAAGTTACCGGGACTTTCGAGAAACGGGCCCCAGTTTCGAGCAAAACCCGCAATGGTTGGCGATTGCAGCACATTTGCTTTTGCGACCGAAACAACTGTAGAGAAGCTGAAAAACTGCTCTAACAACGAAAACACTGCGAAAAGCACTGGTTTTTGGCTCTCTTTTTGGAAGAATTGGTGCGTAGGTAAGGAAATTACTTATGAAATAGAAAATTATGACCCGGCTTAGCTTAACACTTTGCCCGAGCATTTCTACGCCGAAGTAAACAATACAAAAAAGGTGAAGATTTATGAACCAGAAAGCCTTAAAGTAATGAAGGCATCGCTTGATAGACACTTAAAGAACAAAGGCGAAACAGCTTCGCTTGGCTGGTCGTGGCAGGCGCCCAAACAAAGCTCGGCAAGTATCAGAGGAGGAAGAAGAAATTCTCTGGAAGAGCGGAAAACTCGAGGTAATAACCCAGAATCTTTATTTCAAACACATTGAACAATTCCATGAACTGTTCAGCCCGTTTCTGCAGCTTGCAAACTTTAAAAACATCGAGCAAAATGTTGTTTGACTGCACGTGTGATGATATTTGCAGCATTTACTTTACGCGGGTTGACTCCCTATTAAAGAGATTATAAAGCTATCTCGCAATTTTTTCATGAATATTATTAATAAGTAATCACATAATTTTTCTCGTGCAATTTGGAATAAATAAACACTCGTAAATTTTTCCAAAGACCACAAATTGCACTCGCCCTACGGGCTCGTGCAATTTTGTTAGCCTTTGAAAAAATTTACTCGTGCTTATTTATTCCAAATTGCACTCGAAATCATGTGATTACCTGTACTAATGTCTCCAATATGCCACTAGTGCTTATCTGTATCTTAGTAATCGTCACTTATGGCAATACTAACATCACTTTTATTATTAGTGTCATCACCATCATCAACATTATCATGTCATAATCTACTTCAAAATCATTATCAGTATTATCATTATCATCATCATCAGCAGAATTATCAACATCGTTGTCGTCATCGACGACGTCATCATCACTATAATAGTAAGAATAATAATAATCATCATCATCATCATCATCATCACAATAGTTGTCTTCATTAATCAGCGACAACAACATTATCATCATCAACATCTAGCCTTGTTACACAAAAAAGCAAACAACACAGCCCTAAATGAGGTTTCTGATAATGAATTCCCACTTTCCAAAACCTTGAATAAGATCCTATTTAAACGAAATACTCTACTAACGCTAGCAGACCAGGCCTTTAAAAATCAAAACGAGGATTTGTTCTTTAAAATCTATAATAACCATGGAGTAAATGAATGAAATTTTAAATCTACAATACCTCAGGACCAGGACGTGGTTTGTTGTACAAACAACTGTCCAATTCTTGCCTTTCAAGTTCTCCAAGTGCCTTTAAGTTGCAATCAGAAAAACCCATGTTTTCTTCTCTGCAAAGTAATTGACCGCAAAAGGACTCAAAAGTGAATGTGAAACTGTCTGGTAACGTATTGTACCTTTGAAGTTGTTGATGGTCCCAGGTAAGGGAATCCGGAAAATTTTTGAATGAAAATCATTGAATCCGCAATCCGCGGGTTTGAAATCCGGAATAAAGCTCAAGGAATCCAGAATCCCACGAACAATTATAACCCAGAATCAAAGTACCACCGACAAAGACTGCAATCTAGTACCTGGATTCCGGAATCCACGGCGTGGAATCAAGAATTTAAGACTGACTTGGATTTCTTTGCATGGGTCGAAGTTTGGGTCTGTGGAAAAAGGGCTACTTAATGTGTCCCTTCAAATGAAACCTACGCAGCACGTTTCGTGTGTTACTTTTTATTATGATGGTACTGAATCTGTGTATCAAATCCTAAAGAGTGACCATGCATTCAAATTACGTAAAGCTACTAAGGACAACTTTCCTTGTGGTACTGTTTATTATATTGTACAAGGTATAGTTCTATCTTTTGAGTCTCTAGATGAATTTAAAATAAAGTTACCGCGCAGTGCTCACAGTGATTTACTGTGGTGCTGTTTATTACGGCGGTTGTCGAAGTGGTTCTAGCTTTTGAGTCCGTAGATGAAATCCTAAACTGTGTACCATTTAAATGAAAGCTACTGAGTAGTGCTTCCCTGTGATATCTTTAAGAAAGTGGTTCCAACTTTTGAGCGCGTAGATGAAATCCTTATCCGCCTCCATGTTTCATGCAGGTTTTATTAACTTTTATTCAAGGACTTTAACAGGACTTAATTAAAAAATTCAAGGAGTTCATTTTCTCAAGCATTCGCGTTATCGTCACATATTACATCTTTTGCAGTCATGCTAACAAAGCAATTCTTGTAAGTGCAAATAACATCCTTGCACCTTGTATTTCAGGGTCAAATAAATCAGTCACCCTTCAAGCCCATTCAAGCTATATTAATTACCCTCGTGGTTTTGTTAGCTAAGAAGGGAGCTGAAGAATACACTTGGGGAACTCCATTAAAGCCGCGGTAACTTACAATAAACACTGAATAAGAAACACTGAAAGTACATGTCCTCATATAGAACGCTTCTCGGCTTTTTTTTTGTAGAACGTCACGGTGTATTAATTAAAAAGTGATTTCCAGCCACACGTCTTTTCCTGGTTAATTGAAATCATTCTACGCCCTAGACATTAATTTAACGCTACTGTTTTCTAAATTGTATATACTTTTTTCCCGACATCATACAGCACCCTCTGCTTCGTGTTAAGCATTTACAATTTCCTAAGAGAAACGAAAAAAAAAAAACAAAAAAAAACAAAACAAGACAAAAAGAAAACAAACAAACAAAAAAAACGTAAGGTTAGTGCTGATATATTCATCCGTCAACTTTCTAATTACCTCTGATGATAGTAAGGGACGGACCATTAGAAAACTTATGGGGGGGGGGGGCGAAGAAAAAAAAAAAAAAAAATTCGCGCAAGGAAAAATTAAATGAAAAAAAATTCTTGCAAGCCAATTAACCCCTAAGAAATATTCATGCAAGGGCCTGAAAAAAATTCATTCAAGGAATTTGATAACGAAAAAAAATTCCTGCAGCTCAAAAATTCCCCTCCCCCCCATAACTTTTCTAATGGTCCGTCCCTAAATGAAATATAGCGTGTTAAAACGGCTAACGGTTGTAAGGCAGTACACAACTGGGGTTTCACGCATTAACCCTCGGACGTACAAGGGGCCCGCTAACGTTTTTCTAATTTTTTGCCTGGACGATAAAACATCAGCTACTGAAGTTTTCTGTAGCTGTTCGTTTATCCCTCGCCCGCATTTTTTAGAAAAGTTTATTGATGGTCGATTTTTATGGTTACGAGATATGACGTCATAAGTAGCAGGTGGTCAAGCCATTTTTTGAGTGAAAATGGATGTTTTTCAACTTCTTTCAGGAATAAAAGTAAAGCTTGTGATAAAATGATGCAAAGTAATTATTTATGTGTTATTTTACATGTTAAGCGCAAAAAATTATTAATTCCCACTGTTTTTGCTTGATTTCTAATTCTTGTTATAAAATAACTAAGATACTACGCGCGCTCTGATTGGCCGAGTGGTTGTAAACAATCTAAACATGGTTGTGGCGTCAAGATGTTTCGCTTTTCGCGCGCTAATCACGCAAGCACGGATTTGAAAAAGTTTTCGAGTTCAAAACTAGGCAAGTTTTCTTTATTTACCCATTCCTTCGCCGGCTGAAACTTGGAAAATCGCTACAAACAAGGTCTGTCGATTTTTTTTTTGTCTTAATTAAGCTGACATTTTAAGCGAGAAAAATCCGTATTTTGGAAAGCATCTTTTTGCAAAACAAGAACTGATAACGCGTTCAAGACTTTAAGACTGGTAAGAATTTCTCTTTTAATCAGTGCCATAAAAAAGAGTTCTGCGTCTTTTCTCGGGAAAGTTATTTTATAAAAGCAATAGACAACTTTTTTTCCTGTGTTTGCATAGCCTGATGTAAACACTGAGGCAATGGGAAAATTCCCGACAGTTATCCAAACTCTCGACTTCGTCTCGGGTTTGCATAACTGTCTCGAATTCTCCCACCCCTCTTGTGTTCATATCAGGCTACGCAAACACGGAAAACGTTTTCCTATCGCTTAAATAAAATCCAAGATGGCGACCAAGATGGCGACCACGTTTGGTGACATCACAGACTTCCAGCAGCCCCACCATCCACAAAATATACCTCGTCTTGTAGAGAAGATCAAAGGCCTTCCACTGAAGGCAAATTTAAAAGACGCAAGGGGGAGGGGGGTCCATCAACCCCTCCCCTTTGTTCCACGGTGGGAGCATGACTTTGCGTGTTCGTCCGAGAGTTAAGAAGGCGAATTTTGAGCAGTAAAACGAAACAAGCTTGTCCGACCAAACGCATGGTGAAAAACGAACGAACTGCGTAAGCGCAAAGTACGGGATATAACTACAGCGTTGCTGTTCAATTGTTGTAAAGCCCAGGATGTTGAAATTATAATATAAAGCGAGTCTTCCTAATATTTATCCGAAATCATTATCTCCAACATGTCCAAGAGAGGATAAATTTATGAAAATTTACTATAATTATGATGATTTGGCAAATTATTGTGCAAGTGGTAGAAAACCTATCATAACCAATCTTTGTACACATTACCATCGTCATGATCAAATCCAAAGTTGTGTCCCATTTCATGTGCCAATGCATCATAAGGTCCCAAATCTCTTCCTATTTCACCCGAATTCCACTGAAATGCAGAAAACAACCTATAGTCTGCAATCTGTAATAACCCTTTAGACCCTAAGATCAAAATTCTCATTTCCTACCCCTACTTATTCTCTACAGTATAGTAGTGGGGAGAAGTTGATAGAATATCCGGCAAGCAAATTCATCTTGTGTGATCATGTCCGTAATTCTCATGACCACTCTGTTTTACAAAGCATTGATATCTCAAGGAGAAATTGGATGCTGATCACTCTGAGGGCTTAAAGGGTTAATCTTCTTTAATGTTGCCCCCACGTGCCTCCCGTTTGTTTCAGCCTCTTAGGTTCTTCTAAAGCTATTTTAAACTTAGATGGTCGATTCTGTGATTGTGTGGTAGGTTGCATGAATGGGTCTGTTTTTAACTTGTGGGCTATGACACTCTGTTCACTCTAAACCGGATAGCATGTTGCGCCAACACGGAAACCATAACGGATAGGGTCTCTGTTCACATAGCCTCGCTCGGGCCGTATTGTTTCGACTCGGGCTAATAGTACCCACTTCAGCCCTCGCGGTCGGATAGTAAGAGGTTAATGCGACGAACTCCACCGGCTAATGAACAGCTGGGAAACTGTTCCGTTATTCAAAATAGCCGCGATCTTGGATGTTCGATCGTTATTAAAATTCCGATTCAAGTAAATAGTTTACAAAAAAAAAGTATGCTTTAACCTTGCGATGTAAGAAGTGTTAATTTTTTTTTGCTGCATTTGGAACCGCTTAATATCCTAAGCCAAGTTTTTCTCATGATATATGCAGAAATAATTTTTAAAAGTAATGGTGAGAGATGTATAACCGACGTATGGCTCCATTTAATGTGCTTTCTTAGGAAATTAATTTAAATTTCTTAGAAATTAAACGTGCTAAAGTTGCCCATGTTCGAAAGGTGGATAACCCATATTCACTAGATAAATCTCTATTCACGGATAAAGCAATTGGATTTCCTATTACATTAGTACCGCTATCCAACGTTTGAACAACTAAGGAAAATAAATAACAAAAAAATTCCGTAATCGATACCGAAAAAAAGACGTCCTAAGCCCTAGTTTCTGGCCTTAGCGGTTAGGGAGAGCGCGACTGCGTGGGGGACGGGAGGGGGCGTCGGCGGTTCGGGGCGAAGGGGCATCTACTCGCACACAAGGAAAGGAATAAACATATAGTAGAGATCACTTACATCATTTATACCAACTGAATTATCCGTGCAAGTCGCAAACATCCAAGCCATACCTCCAATGCCTGGCCATTGGTTCCAACTGAAACGAGAAGAGTATCGTTGACTGCAGCTTTATCATTTTGTAATGTAATCTAATGTAATGTAATGTCGTGGATTAGAGGACAACAAGACGCGCGACAAGACGCGCCCTCTTTATATATTAACATGTAAACAGTAAGCTCGGACTTCAGTATACAAGGCGCCACTGGCAACCGCTAGTAGTCCGTTTATGAGCTTACTGTAACCGGCCATGCCCATGACATGAATAGTTGAATCAATTGGTCTTACTGTGAGAAACAGTTTATCATTTAAGGCTTATTTACGGTATGGAGACAAGAATAACTTAATTTAATTTCCTTGTGCCCAGTAATGTAATTTACCTAAGTGGAAGGAGGGTATCAATGTGAGTGGTAGCTTTGAAGGTTAACGGTTAAAGATTGAATTTTACTGCTTTTAACGGTTATTAAGTGAAAATTTAGTCCAAGTGCCTAATTGACAATTAATGAATGAGGCTGAGTATCTTAGAGAAGAAGGGTGTTAGGCCGTAGGCCGAGGCGGATAACACCCCGAGATCTTCATAATTCTTCATATGATGCGAAAGCCGACTTCAATAATTGTTTTATTATTCATTCAAAATAATTCCTATTTTAAAAACATTGCTAAAACATACTTACCTCCTTTGATGTTAAGTTCATCCTCGATTGTGCACGTTTAGGGTTGTTCAGCTCCGCAAAAATTCTACGAAATAACAGATGTCGCCCTTCGAGTTGGCTTCTTGCTGTTCTTGCCATGTTTTTACTAATTATTTTTTCGCCTAGTTTTTACTCTTGAAACGAATGAAATGTCTGCCATTTTGTTTTCACAACCAAAACAACTCAGCCTCGTCCCCAGGTCCTCTCGGTTAACGGTGTATTAACCTGCAAGGAGGCTGCACTTTTGACGTCATCGGTTGATTAATCGCAAAGTTCTTCCAAATTTGGTCATCAGTAGATGGTTATGGTGAATTAAATGTGTTCTTTTAGCTAATCAGAATAGGGGAAATATTTTGAATGAATAATACGTAATGAAATGGCCTGATGAGTGTGGTCCTACAATTTCGGACCATACTAAACAGCACTGTCGCAATAAACGATCGATGATTACTCCTGAAGCCTGAACTCCTGTGATTATTAATAACGTTAGCTTCTACGTAAATTAATATCAAACCTTGTGTCTCGCAGGCTATCTTGGCCTTTTACTGTTGAAATTTCGAAACATTTTCAGATTTAAGCAAATTGTAACGTCTTGTACTGTCTAGAGAACGTGTTTTTGGGAACAGGGGAACTGAGTTTTCCAAATTAGAGATTCTTCTGGAGCCCGACGTCCGTGAAGATCAGCTGAAATAGTACGATTTGAGATACCTTCAGGCTTGAAAAGTTTCGACGGTTGATGCTAATCTTTGATCATTTTTGACGGTTGATGGTTGAATTTTCGGCCGTTTGACGGCTGACAGTTGACCCAATTGAGACTCTCTTAAAGGACTTCTTTAATCATTAGGTATCCAAAGGGAAAGGAGTGTAAAATAATATTTCTTCCCATGTTTCACTTCAAGTTAAATGCATAATTTCGTATATTTAACCTGAGGCCGGGGAACGATTTGACACGTGACTCTGACTTGAAAGACTATCGCAAAACCTGAAAATTATAAGCCTTACACAGGAAAACCAACCCTCGCGGTCATTAACGAGGAGGAATGTGGACGTTAAAAGGATTCAGTGCAAACCATGCCATCAAGTTGTTTTCTTCGACAACAAACTCTGCTCCACTTTGTTTCTCTGCACCCAGGTGCTGTCTCTTTCCTAAGCGTCTCAAGTGTTTGATAGAAAACACGACTGCAACTCCCGGGGGAAGGGGCGGGGAAGGGGGGCTCCGCCCCGACGTCCAACCCCTTACCAGTTTTATATACCATTTTTCACGAAAAAGGTACCCCTTTCGTATACCTTCTGTTGAAAAATGGCACCCCTTTCACATACCTTGTTTAGTACCTTGTCGGGCGAAACTTCCCCATATAGGCCATTATGGGGAGAACCCCCCCCACCCGGGCTGCGACTCCTTGAGCGATCAAGGAGTATCGCGCAATGGACCATGGGAACGTTTAGCTTGTCGCAAAGTATGCTGGAAAGGGTGATAATAGTACCAGCCATATACTGCTAGGCGTAACTTTTGATCAACCAACATCCCATCCAAGAGGAAGGGAGGTGGGGTTAGCAATTATCCTATGCTAGGCGCTCTTACGCCACAGTAACTCGGATCAACTTCGGGTCGTGTGACCCCCAATGACCCCAATGACCGTTTTCTTACTGAACAGACAACTTGGCCTGGCCTGCGAACGGCAGACATTTCTTTTCGCGGCAAAATTCCATACTGATCAAAATCTGTCCGAAACGGTCGATGAATATCTAACAAAACAGTCAATGTTTATGACCACAAAAGACAAAAAAGGCGGCATATGGTCTTCTCTAGAAGAAACATTTGAGTTTAGGGATTGTGATAATAATTACCAGAAGTGGGGGGGCTGAAAAACTAGAGGGGGCATTACATAAAATTGCTGCCAAGATAGGGGGGCTCAAAGTAAAATCAGTCATTTGACGGAGGGGGGGCCTTAAGTTTTGCGATGTTATTTTTAACATAACAGAGGGGGGTTAGAACTAATTTCTTTTGTTTGGAGGGGGGGTACTGTCTAAGTTTTTGCTAGATAACTCTAGTTTTTCAGCGCCCCCTCCTGATAATCACAGTCCCTTAGCTGGAGCTCATTCGCAGATGAACACAACACTTTTCCAAAATCGACCAGAAGAAATAGAACAAGTTTGCATTTCGAACCCATGACTACCTGATTTATTTGTAAACATTGATTTACGTCATCAGTATGGAATTTCTGTCGCTGAGTCGTAGACGTTCCTCCTCGCGAAACTTCCCTCAATGGCGATGGGCGAGGAGAAACGTCTGCCGTTCGCAGGCTATCAATTGACACTCAGCCTTGGTGTTTCTAGAGATAATTGCAAACCTCAGTAAGTGGGCGTTGTCGTGAGGAATTTTTTTCCTTAAATGTTTGTTTCGATAGTTTTTGAAGTTACTGAGATCAACCCCAGCATCTGCTGACCGCTTAAATTGGTCGCGAATTGTCCAGATCTCTAACCCCGCCAAGACAATCTGGATATTTATCTCCCGGTAAATCTTGAAAAGTAAGAAAGAAAAAAACACACAGTTAGACTGAATCCCATAAGGCGTGAATTGAAATGAAAAAAAGGAAAATAAAAATGAAAACAAAAAAGTAGAAAAATTGAACTGCTGTCCTCTATCGCGTATATAGTTGGCACCACTGCTGTAAAGGTTTTCAAGTGATACAATTTGGGATAGGCATAGAAATGAGACAACTAATTGTTTCGATGTAGATCAGAGCTAGGTCGTAGTGAAAATATTTCAAAGTAGAGAAAAGGCGTTAAATTGAAACTCGTTTGCTTAAATAAAAAGTCGTTTCAATAGTGAAAAGGGGACTTTATTGAAGCCCCATGCGGTAACAAACTACTCAAACTTGCAGTAATTGTTTACATTTTCAGCGTGCGTGGTTAATTTTGCGAAAATTAGAGACCGTATTTTGGGAGTGTAGTAAAAAAGAGCTTAATTTTCTCGATTTAAACGGAAGGATATACGATCAAAACCTGCTAGATTTCGGGATTTGCTTATTAAAGAGAAAGGTTTTACGTTAACTTCAAGTCATCATCTTGTATATAAGGTAAAACGGGCAACAAAAATTAAACGTGTAACTTGTCTGGCAGCATTGCTGCAAAACGAGTCAAATAGCTATGTTGCGCGTCTTATCCCGCACAAATCACACCGGCATTGCAACAATTAGGTTGTCGCAGGTTGCGAAAAGCTGTTGCAGAAAGTAGAGAACAGTTCTACTCTTTGCAACACAATCTGTACATATTGGGCGTTTTACCGGGCCAAGGCAAACTTGTTTAACAGCAGGTGACGCAACTTCCGCGTATAGCGTGACAACCGCGTGGTTTTATCCAATTAGAAGTCAGTATTTACGCAACTTGCAACAACCCGAGTTTGAACTTCAAAATGCGCAGGAGTTTTTTTTCAACTCGTTTTGCAGGAATGTTGCATCACACTTTACACGTTTTCGATGTAAGGGATCTAAGACAATCTTGGATTCTGGATTCCACGCTGCGGTTTCGGGTTCCAGGTACTGGATTCCTGTTTTTCTCAGTGATACTTGGATTCGGGATTGTAATCTTTAATAAGATCCCGAATTTCTTGAACTGTATTCCGGATTCCAGAACCCAGGATTCCGGATTCCACAAGGAAATATTTCCCATATTCAGGATTCCACAACCAACTTTTTCCCGGAAGGCTCACAAGCCTCCCAGTTACATCTATGAAGGAAACTTACTCCGTCAACAACGTTGACCAACGTTTCCACCTTGCGTCTGACGGCATCTTCATCCTCTTCGAGTTTTTTATACTAAAATAACAAAGTAAAAGTTTATAGAGTATTTTTCTACCTAGTGAGAATAGTTGTTGTAACGCAACTAGTGTGTTTGAGCTTCATAGAGAGATTTTCGTATGACCTTGAAAAATAAGTGTTCGTTACTTGTTTTATCAGCCAATGGATGAAAGGATCAAAACATGGCCTCTTCCCGCTCGTACCTCCGCCTTTGCTCGTCTGATAAATGCTTAAGCCCGTTGTTTATGCGAGATCTCAATTTTACAACCAAATAGACGTTGAGCTCGTTTTATTGGCAATTTCATTCTTGACTCCAGCAAACGGTTTACCGACGGCTTTTACCTCTTTTTGATTTTACCGAATTATAAATAATAACAGAACTACAGTCCATGCCTGCAAGACTAACCAGTTGATTATCCACTACTATCAATAGCTCATTATATCGCGTCTTCTCCGTTATTTTATACTTCTTTAGATAGGGTTTGTAGACATCAGCGGCTTTGGATCTGGTACGTCTCATCTAAAAGATAAAATGGAAAAATGGAATTTTATTCATTGATATATTCCTATCTGGGTCCTTTACGTTGCCACAACACGCTGCAACGCATCTCTAAGGCATTTTCGACAATCTAAATATATCTCCGCTTGGGAAGAAGAGATGTGACAGGCCGAACTGATACATGTTCCTGAAGTTACGTCACCATACGTCACGGATCCTATCTGGCCGAGAGGAGACTAATGCGAATGGTGGACCAAAATGGCGGCAAATTGCGAAGGCCTTAAAAAATCATAAAAAAATCATGTTTGCTCAAATGGCAAAATTTTTGCGCAGAAGTTCCTGGTTAAATATATACTTTCAGATAAGAAAATAGAATTTTTTAGGTTATGGGCACTTTAAACCCAAAGGTTAGAAACGAAACCGGAAATTTTGGAACTTGTTTTACTAGAACAACCTTAATTTGCCCAATACTTTTGATGTCAAGTCTTGGTCCTCTTTTTAAGTGCAATTAAAAAAACATCGACAATAACGGCTAGGTACCACAGAATAAACTTACCCACTTTTGTAGTTTGAAGGTGTAACCAAATTCAGGGTTATGCCGTGTCTATTTAGCGAATTTTGGACACCGTTTCTGTTGTGAACAATACTAAGGCTATCCCGACAGTCTTGAATTATCACGTGATTAGATGGCATCAGCATTTTGGTTTTCATCTCGAGGAGTCGAGCAGAGTCGATTACTGCCCTTTTCAGTGACACGCGAACTCTGTACTACAAGAGCCAACTAACGTTTGTCTTCTTCGCTGCCGTCAATAGTGTTTGGACCCCTCTTAGGAAACAGAAGTTCACTTCAACAAGCTGGAAATTTCATGGTTTTTAATTGGTGGATATCGATCTGTTTTGTGTGTTTCAAGTGGGTTAATTACTTATGGTTGACGGCAACGAAAAACCCAATTGTAGCGGTTGGCGTTTAAATTATAGTATTGTATTTGCGTGTCTTTGAAAAGCGCGGTAAAATACAGTTGAGAAAGGTCATCTCTTCATGTTTGCTTTTTTTTCTTTAACGAAAAAACTTGCTCGTTACATTTTTAGGGAATTCTGGTTAAGTCATTCCAGCCCCATAAATTAATGATGAAACTAAATGTGACACCCAAAAAGTATCCTTGTGACTGAATAAAATAAAAATTAAAAAATTAAAAACAACAAGAAAGTGATGCCAACTTCCAAAAAATGTGGAGTGAAATTTGGAGACGAATATGTTAATTATGGAATTTTTCTGGGAAATATTTCCCCTGTGTATTAATTTGACTTAAATTTGCACTAACTTGGAGCCATAAATAGTACAACGAGAGATGATGACGATAATGATGCTAACGATCGTGATGGCTGTGGATTATGATGTTGATGGTGATGATAATGATGACGATAGCAATGATGACGGTGGTGATGATAATTATGAAGATGGTGATGGTGGTAATGATGGTTATAGATTATGATGATGATAGTGATGAAAATGATGACGATTGTGCTACTACTGATGACGACGAAGACGATGGTGATGATGATGACGACGACGATGATGATGATAATGATAATGACGATAATTTTGATGAAGATGACGATTATGGTAACAATGATTATGATAATAGGAAGATATGTAAAAGGTTATAATGATTACCAGTACTCTTGCTTCCTCACATCTTTTATCAATGGTCATTAATTAAAAGAGAACTATTATCAAACTATTACCCTAGAAAGTGATCCAAAACTTTCGTCTAAAAAAGACAAGTTTGCAGAAACTTCTTGAACTACGGCTCCTAGTAATGGGGAAAAATATTCATTTGTTAAGCAAAGAGCAGAATGGTTAAAACAACAACAAAAATGCTTCAAGTATGCACCCTAAGTTTAATTCATTTACCACAACTTTGGCTAATATCACTGGATGCATCCTCTGATTTGGTTTTGAAAACTTTATGAACACCGCTAACCTGAAAAATGCCATTTTAATACATATTAGATCATTTAATAAAATTCAAACCCCCCGTAAGCGACCATCCAAACAGGCAACGGCTACAATCCCGCTCTGTTTGGGGTCCTACGGATGTCGTGTTTATATCTTTCAACTTAGGCTATGTTCACACGGATCAATTTAGGATTCTGGGAAACTTACCAAATACCCCTTCCCTAAGCCAACATTTTGCCCCAGTTGAGAAGTAAGTGATAATGTTGGCTTAGGGGAGGAGTAGGTGGTCAGTTTCCCAGAAACCTAAATTGCCGTTCAAACTGTATCGTATAGCTTTTCGTGCCAACGCAAAAACCTATCTGGTATTATGTGAACACTTAGCCGATATGTGACTTCCCACTTTAAAGATCAGCGCGGCGAAGTTGTGCCGCCCAGTTACCAATACACTTTAAAATAATAGACTTGATATAGTACAAACATTAACCACAAGGGACTGCAAAGGACCGCAAACGAATACGCCGAAAAACGTAGGATCTATAAAGACCTAGTACATTATATCCCGATAAATGTCTGAAAAACCTCCGAAGTTTTGAGGGTTTTTCGTCTAGCTATTTCCTTCCCCGCCCCACCCTAACTCTGTAATAGGTCCTTTGCAGCTGTCATACGCGTGTTACAAAACCGCATACTGGAAAAAAGACAAACAAAAAAGTACCATACGCCACTTGCACATCTCCCATAATGCACCTTATTTGCCACCTAACCTTTTGCATTATTGCATAAGCATTGTTTTCAATTTCTCTTGGGACGGCTATGTGTGCAATTTTTTTTTTTTTTTTTTTTTTTGGGGGGGGGATGGGGGGAATAATGTGCATTATGGGAGATGTGCAAGTGGTGTATCTCAAATAATGTGAGCTCTTTGTTTGTCTTCACTCATCAGCAATGGCGGTTCTGTACCACGTGAGTGTAGATGCAGTCGATCCAGGTGTTCCTTATTTCATATTTCATTCTGCAAAAAAGTTACGGCGACGTCACCCCAGCAGCATAGCGCGGTCTACAATTTTATTTCAACACGTGAAAATGATTCATTGACAGTAGCTCAAGTTCGATCTATTAGAATTCTAACATGACTCAGAGGCTTTAAGGTCCGAAACAATCGGGTCTCTCGCAATTCTGAGAAGACACTTGAGCACAAAGGAAACCAAACCAAATAATAAAAGAAAAAATAAAAATGACCAGAAAGCCTCAGAGTCGTGTTAGAATTTTAATACTGGAACGTGGGCTATTCGATAAAGGGGAATGAGCTCGAGATGATCACAGTATGCGTGATGTAACAATTATAAACAAAGTTTGTTATATATTTCACAGAGGCGTAGCCAGCTTTTCGACTATTTGTAGTCACGGCGGCTGACTTTCATTTACACATATCCTGAAAATTGCACGCATGACTAGTCTGACCTCCCCAGCACTTTGACCTCTTAAGCTTTTTAGCTCACCTCAACAACGCATAATTTATTACAAGCGATAGAGAGATCAAAGCAAAAATTTGTAGGCCTGGGCCTACAGGTCTGTCAGCTTACTACGCCCTTATTACTTACAGTATAATTTCTCTCGGGCTCAATGTTAAAACTTTCTTTTCCATTGTATATCACACCTCTGGAAAAGAGAAAAAAATATCTTGGTTATAACTCAACTTTAAACGATAAAAAAATAAAACAACAACAACAACAACAATCAATACATTTGCTCTTGTTGTCTCTACCCCGGTGGCCACTTCTTCACCAGGAAATAGGTCGCTCCCTATCTACAACTGCCGACCTGCCTCTGTCCCTAATGTGGCAGTGGTAGTGAAGTTCTACTGCGTGTTGAGATCGAAGAAACTAACTGCAGTATGATGGAAAAGCTTTACCTCAGTCCTTCACAAGTGTTGAGGATCACACTCGAACGCTTTAAACCACGAATTCTACCTTGATATTGACAGTGACCGGTATGCCCCTAAAACAAAACAATACAGCAAACACATACTAAGAAGTAGCGCATAAAATGTTTTTACTAACAGTGCTTATGATCAAAGAAACCAGAACAAGTCTGTTTAGTTGGAGCGGCTTATGGAGTGCAGCAATGAGCCGCAGAGGACTATGAACTGACTCAGACTAAGACGTTAAATAAAGTAGATATGTGGACACAGCCCACACAATTTTATTATCTTTTATGGCGTTCAAACATGAAGAACTGCTCCTTAATTGACTGGCAGACGAATGGTGAGATATTTGTGACCTCTACTACCAGCTTTTTCAAAGACATTGGCGGTGAAACTGGTAAGGAGTTTATTACTTAATTCGTTGAGCGAGCCACCATTAATTGATAATTGATATGTTAGCCATATATTACAACGAAAATTAAAAAGATCTGTTTCAGTCCCGAAGTGTCAATTCAGCCCTACAGGCCGAAGTCTGATTTAGCCCCTCCTGGAGCCATTTGAGCACAATTTAAGCCAAAACGCTCAATCAAAAAAGGGCTATTCCAGCCGACGCAGGGACCCATTTCAGCCCTTTGGTCCAAACCATCCCTACGGATTTAGACTTAAAAATAGGAATGTATTTTTACTCACCGAAACGATCCGATTTCAAGGGCTTAATCAGATCTTTCTGATTTACAGTGTAGCCTATTCTTAATCCTGCGCATTCAAATACTGAGGAGTAAGTGAAGCGAAAAATTTACTGGGTAAAAAAAAACCAAAGGCAGGGGAATGACAAGGGATTCCCTTCCCCCTCTCCTTCTTTGGACAGTTTAATTTTTTTGCGGCCTTCCCCACTACCTCTGGTGATCTGCAACATGTTTATGATGTAAAAGGTTTAACAAGAGAATAAAAATGATATCCCAGGAGTCTTTTACACTTAAAAAAGAGGGTGGTAAGAAATTAAATTATTTTTCAGAGTTCAGTTGCATGTTTTTTCAGTGCTAAATAAAAATAACCATGCCTAATAGTATATACACCTGTAGATCCTTCATAAATTTCCTACCTCTTCAAGGCCCTTTATAATTTCTGAGCCATCACTGGCAA